CTTTAGCCCGATTCACAACGGTTAGCTTATAATAATGTTTTCTAATTTGAGTGGTACGGGTGGTTTCGTGGGAAATTTGAGCATGCTGCTGCGTCATTTCGTCACTTCTGTAAACATAAAGAAGTTGTCCCGGCTACTAGGCTATTGCATGTGAGGATCCTGCAGGTGGCAGATCGTTAGCCTTTTCTCACAGCAGCTAGAATAATTAAATGTCAAAAAATCATTTTGAGGGTGGATTGTAATCCAGAAAGGATTATATGAAAAAGACGTAGGCTAGAATTTGTGATGATTACTAAGTATAAGATTCACACCGGTGTGGTGACTGACTGCCACACATACTCCTCAAAACATTAGATTCATCCGCGCTGGAGCCGTGCCAGAGTACAACCCACGCAAGGAAGATAATTCCGCAAGTAACTGCAATTCCAGGTTTTCAAACAGAGATGGCGATAAAGAGGCAACTTACGGACTGCAGCTTTAAGTAAAGATCATGTTCCATATTGTGTAAATTTCCTACTGTAAAAATATCAAAACTTAATTTTTGATTAGTAATATGCATTGCTAAGAGCTTCATTTAGACAACTTTAAAGGCGATTTTCTCAATATTTAGATTTTGTTTTGCACCCTCCGATTCCAGATTTTCAAATAGTTGTATCTCGGCCAAATATTGTCCTATCCTAACAAACCATACATCAATAGAAAGGTTATTTATTCAGATGTTGTATAAATCTCAATTTCAAAAAATGGACCCTTATGACTGGTTTTGTGGTATGGGTCACATATTTAATAAACAAACATGCAAGAGGCCAGTGTCATCTTGTTGAATCAAATCCCTGTAGGACCCCAAAATGATGCCATCGGCTGATGGGTACTTTTGGTGCGATGAAGTCATGTTGGAAAGATCATATTTACGTGTTGAACACCGTCATAATTATGTGTGGAAAACTCATAACTTTCTTTAAACCCCCAGTTTCCAAGTTGGGGGTGTACCTGGTATTGTACAAACATGACAGAATATGTAACTATTACATTTACAATGAAATTCATAAATTAAATGCAAATATAAAAAAGCAAAAACACACCTAATGCACTTTCATTATTCATCGTTTTATAGACGTTCATAATTTTTGCTGAATTTTTGCACTCTGACCATAGTGGCTTGAATGTACCTGACGTTGTGACTTCCAAACTTGTAAATACGAACTTTCCCTGGAGGACTTGAACGCACCATGTATCTAGTGCCAGATTAGGAGTCTTGCGATATCGAAAGCCTGGAATACACTACACAATTTTTGCCCTGATTTTTCAGCTGATTTACAGTCTGGAGAAGTCGACGCTAGTTGCTGACAGTCGGAGCCAGTCTGCAGATTAGAGTTGACAGAGTCCACAGAAAATCGTGTAATGTATGATGGTCACAGACTCCGATTTTTTAGCTTCAGGCTTTGATTCCATCCAGTCAGAGGATATCAGACATGTTTGATATTTTCAGCCAATTTTAGAACGCATATTGTTTTCATTTGTCAATCATCTCCTAGCAACAAGGCGCACGTTTCTGTGTGAGTTTTGATTGGAATGATTTCAAAGTCTGCTATTGTGTGATCCTCAGTCGTTTAGTGTATGATGGCCTGTTTTCCTCTGTCACTACTTACAAAGTCGGTAAGTGTATGATGCCTAGTGTTTTAAAAATCTGTTCAGATTTTAAAAGTCGTGTAGTGTATACCAGCCTTAAGATGTTTGTTCATCTTCGGAACACAAATGAAGATATTTTTGATGAAATCCGAGAGCTTTCTGACCCTCCATAGACAGCAACGCAACTAACCATGTTCAAGGCCCAGAAACGAACTAAGGACATCGCTAAAGTAGTCCATGTGACATCAGTGGTTCAACTGTAATGTTGTGAAGCTATGAGAATACTTTTTGTGTGTAACAATTTCCTCTCTTCCGTGTCAGTCTTTGATGCACATTCAAGACAGTACCACGACGCATGCGTGTGCATTCCTCCGCTTGAGAAAAAGGTGCAGCGCATCCGGGTTGTACATCAGCAGCATCACATCATGACAGAATTTTCATTTTTTGGTGTACTATACTATTAAGACTAGTTTAAGGGTCAGGTATTTCTTTTGTGTGGTAGGTTAGCAGGTACATTCGCTGTAGCTCTTGAACTGAAGCTTTTCTAAATGTTACAGGCTACATTATTCTTGAGGACCATATTAAGCCCTTTACCGACAATAAAAGGTTGGTAGCATGCTGATCTTTTTCCATTATCTCTGAAATGTTGCTGTTAATGCCAACAACTAAATCTGGGCTGGTGTGGTTGTAAAAGAGTCAACTTTGTCTAATTCATTTTGAGAAACTCTGCACACCTGGAGCTCAGACTGCATGGTGCAAATTCTTTACGCTGCAGACCAGGAAACTGCTTGTCTGCTGTTACCCTGCAGGGGACACATCCTCTCTTGTGCCTCCCTGCAGCACTCAGTGGCTGTACGTCTGCCCCGGACAGCTGCGTACTATTCACGCCCCACCCCTTTCCCTCAGCTCGTTACAGGAAGACAGAATTCCTGAACTCCCAGAGGTCTGTTGCTCTGCCCTGTACTTCAGGGAGGAAGCTGCATATGTCTCTCCTTTTATGCTACTACCCCCGTAGGGCTGCACGATAAATCAAATGCGATTGTCATGCGCTTCTTGTCAGTAAAGACGGTTCTGTGATTAGTAGTAAATCTCCAGCACGTGTTTTCAGATGGAGCAGTATTTACTACACTGAGCCGTAGTTCACTGACAAGCTACACAAAATTATGAAATTGAAGAAATCGTTCTGTGATTATGAAAGCTGTTTGCGTAGCTTGTCAGTGAACTACGGCTCAGTGTAGTAAATGCTGCTCCATCTGAAAGCACGTGAAAATACAACATTTAATAACATGTTTTTACTCCGAACTCACTTCATAACGTCAGTCGAGTGTTTGAAATAAATCCTTCTGTGAGATGATCTGGCTTCTTACACAAAATAAGACACGCAACATATTTTATAGTATTCTAAGCAGTGATAAAGGCTATGTCGATTAGCATTGAATTATTATGTACTTTATTATAATAAAAATTATAAGACGAACTCGGATAAACCATATATTGTCGTAATCGTGTGTTTATTAGTCACGTTGAATTAATCAAAGCAGTTAAATCTTCTGTTTATTCAGCAACCCCTATAGGGATTTCCTGGGTTTCTTCTGAGGCGTATTTGGAGTTTCAGCGCGAGAGCGCCCTCTGGTCTTCGGATGGAGATTTACTGCTGATCACAGAACCGTGCTACACTGAAAGATACGCATGACAATCGCAGCTTCTGCCTAATCGCGATTTATCGCCTTTGCGATTTAATTTCGATTAATCGTGCAGCCCTAACCCCCTGCCTCTTTTATAGTATTAAAAAAAAGAATTTGATAATATGCTCGAAAGAAGTCAGCCAATTTCTTTTAATCACAATTCAAAATCTAACCGTTGAAAGTACATTTTTTTGTGACTTTCTCCTAGTGTCTTGTCATCAAATGCATTAACGTGTTGGATTAAGGAGATGGAAAAAGTGCGTGGCGAGCTTCATTACATGAAAGAGGGAGTAAACGGCCGAGTCATTAACAAAAAGGAAAAAGAGTTTGAAGAAAAGATGAATTGTTAACAGGAGTGTTTTGCATTCCTCTGCTAGTTTCCTGGAAGTGTTTCTCCAGAAAGTGTAAATGGGCTCTCAGTCACATGTAATTCACACTTCATCAGACTGAAGAAAATTAGGATATGGGTG